CGCTTCAGGGAGAGGAAGAGAGATGCAGCAGCCCCTTGCCGCTCGGAGTGCGCCGCGCCGCGCGCTGCCGGAGAATGCGTTTATTGCATTAAGATTGGACTGCAGACTACACCGTGTTTTTGCACAGCACGCATCCTTGTTCCGGGCGCTGCAGGACAGGGAAGTCCGCCTCGATTATCTCTCTTTCTCTCTCTCTCCCTCTTCCCCGAGGGCTGCCCACCCCGCTGCCCGCCCGGCTCCTCGGCGCGCTCAAGCAGGGCGAGAAGGAGGCGGCACCCACGGCCTCGGCTCGCATACTGATCCCGAGAGTCGCTTTCGAGGCGCTGTCTCTCTCGCGCTCGTGGGGCGTGCCGCGTAGGTGCGAGTGGAACAGAGCGGCGATGAGAGAGTGGCTTTCGGAGTCAGTCTCCACACAGCGGCCTGATTACTTTTACGGGCGTGGTGGTTGCCGCCCCGCGGACCAACACGCGCCGCCGCGAAGAGGGCATGCTGCCTTTTCCCCGCCCCGCCTGCAGCAGGCTAAGAGGCTCGCAGGGGTCAAGAGCTTCCCAGGCAATCTCTGCCGGACGCAATGTGGATTAGAGAGGAGATTGGCCGGGGCAGCAGGGCAGCGGGGGCAGCGGGGGCAGCGGGGGCAGCGGGGGCAGCGGGGGCAGGCCCTGGAGCCTGGAGGTGCGCTGCCTGCCGGGCTGGCGGCGCCGTCAAGGTGAGGCCCGTACCTGCGGGGAACGAGTTAAGGGCAGGAAGGACGCCGCGTGGCGGGGGTGGGGCGGGCCACGCTCTAAGGGCCTGCACTGCAATGCCCCGGCAGCGCCCACGTCCGTGAGGATCAGCGCAGCGTCAAGGAAGGGAATGCAGGGGGAGAGGAAGCAAATTAAATTCGGCAGAAATAGGTCAGTGGGACCGCGGCGCGACGAGACGCACACCGCCACAGTAAGACCGCGCCGGATTATCCAGTGGCGCACCGCGCACCTGCACTGTGGGCCAGAACACCGGTGGGCGGACAAAGCTCTAAACGCGTTTTGAGCTCCAGAGTCGCTAAATGGGACTCGAACCGAACGTGTGACCCCACCAATGGATTGCTCTCCGAGCGAGGAATCCATTGGTGGGGTCACACGCTTGGTTCGAGTCCTGTTCAGCGACTCTGGAGCTAAAAAAAATGCGTCTAGAATTTTGGCCACCTCCATCCACCGTGCGCTGCGGCATGTCCGGGCACGGCGCACCGCGGCGCAGCACCGCGAACGGGCCGACACGCCATAAAGGGGTCGAAGGAGATAAAAAGAGAACAAGCAAGAAGAGGGCATGAAGGGGCCCGTGCGCGCGGATTTAGCTGTCTGCGATTTTATTTCCTCTCCTTCGTTTTTATATAGGAGGATCCTTTCCGGCGTAGCCACCGCCGCTATTCACCGCATAGCGGCGCGGCGAATAGGCGCACTCCAACAACAACAACAACAACAACAACAACAACAAGAGTACTTCCAGTTGATAATGCGACGATCCCATGGCACGGCATGAGAGGACCCACGCGACCGTCGCAGCAGCAGTGGTCGGCGACGGATTAGCTGCTGCAAACTTTGTCGAGTGCGGGAATCATTCTCCCCCCCCCCCACACACACACACAGTCAGCAAAACAGCCATGCACTGGACTCAGTGGCCTACAAAGGAAGCGTAGTTTCCGCCAGTCAGCACATTTCACAACTTTTCGATAATCGTCGACGTTTTGATAACTTTTCGAGGCCAGCGCCGCCGAACTAAAAGTGGTTGAGGCGCCTGACAGAGTTATTGGGTTCGAAGAAGCGCGTTCCAGCCAAATTTTCGGAGTGGGCCGCCCTTCGGTCTCTATTCAAAGGCTTCAATTAGGCCCAAGGCAGTGACTTCAATTCTTACTCCAGCCACGCCACGCCACGCCTCGCACGCCGCGGCGGCAGCGCCACCGCGTTACCGCGGGATCTGCGTGACGTGCCGGGGCGTGCAGCACACCGTGATTACCTCATTTGCATCAGACGCCACGCCTCGCGTCCCGACGTCCCGACTGTCTGCCGTTACGCGGCGCGCGTCGCTCCAGACCACCGCACACCGCAGCGCCGGGGCGCTCCCCGTGTGCTAATTCGCACGTTGGAGCTCAAGCGGCGCCCCCCCCCCCTTTTCTCCCCTACTCAGACGCGATATGACCGCCTGTGGCCACACCACTGTCCGCAGGCTAACCCTCGCCACGAACCGCGGCCCCCACCACCCCTTGTCCACACTCTAGTTTCAAATTGAAAGCCGGGCTGGTCGTCTAAGGGGCGTCGATCGAGTGCAGCCCCTCGCCAGCCACAATGAGGCCGTGGGCCGCCACGCCCGCCGCGCTAGTTCGCCAACCGCCTCGGCAACGTAACAGCTGTGCTTGGTGGCGTGGGGGAGCAAGGGCCATTCAGCCCAGGGCCGCCCCACCCCGCCCCGCCATCGCTCAAGCCGGTTCGATTTTTGGCCGTGCCACGGGCGTGCCATGGGCGTGGCAGGGCACGGCGACGGCCTTTGAGCGGTTCCCCTGTGGTGGTCCGCGCTGCGTCGACGTCGTGTGGCCAGGCCCGGCCAGCAGGCCGATTCCGAGAGTCGTTCTCGTCACACTCACGGGGCGTCCCATGCAGGTGCGAGAGAGACGGAGCGACGAAAACGACTCCCAGTCTGCTCTACAGGCGACCCAATCATGGCGGTAATGCAGCACGGGGCCAGCGCGCACGCCGCCAACTGCGTCTTTGAAGCCGACTGCTACTTGTTGAAGTGGCCCAGGCCTCCTGCACGGCCCGCTCCGCACACAGGAAGCGCACGGGGGCACGGGGGGCACCCCGCGGGCCTGCGGCCGAGCCAGGCGGAGCGCGGAGCAAACATGGCGCTAACTCAGATTGCCTGGAAGTAGCGGCCTGGCCGGCCCGCCTGTGCCTCGTCGACCCGCGAGGCATCGGATGCGAAAAGAAGATCTAAAGACTGAAATTAGGTGAGCCGACCCTAGCCCTACCGCCACACGCCGAGGCAGCGCATTCACTGCCGCGACTCGGCCGCGACAGCCATCGGCACAAAATGGCGCACAGTGATTTCGGCTCGGCGGAGCGGTCCCAGAACGAGACAGGCGAATATAATACGAAAGCGCGGCGGTGGCTGCGGCGGCGGGCTGGGAACGAGATTTCTATCCAACGCGCCTTTCTCGCCCGTATTATGCATTTGCCCTCACTCACTCACACTCACTCGCGAGCAGTCACACGCACGCACTCACACAGGCACGCGGGGGAAAAGGCGAATCCATCCCCGCGCGCGCCCCCCACCGCCACCCGGGCCGCGGGGCTCGGCGTCGACGGCGGGCGGCGCGCGCTGCGGTGGCTTTGACTCTGGAGGCTTACATTGTTCGGCGCCGCCTCGCCACGCAGCCTCGCGCCTCCGTGCTCGCGGTGGCTGCGTCTCACACCTCGCCGCGCGGACCAGCCGGTTCCTAACAGTGCCCCCGTCGCTCTGTCTCTCTCGCACTCGAGGGGCGCGCGGCGCGCGAGAGGCAGGGCGACGGAGCCTGCCGGCCCAGCTCAGCGCCTCCAATATGAACCGACCTGGCGGCGCCTGGCGGCTGAAAAGCTTTCCGCCCCGGCACGTCTCGCGGTGAGCGAGGACTCCGCGGACCGCCAGAGCAGTGCAGCCGTCCTCCTTCATGAACGCGCTCTAGCGTGCTGTGTGAGTGAGGGCTGTGCCTGTGTGTCTGTGAGAGTGTGTCTGTGCGGGGCGAGGTGGCGGCGCGGTGGCGCCTGACGTCACAGGGTATAATTTCATTCCTATATGCGCCCCTGCGGGGCCGTGCGGGGCTCCGTGGGGCCCTGTGGGGCGCTGGCAGGGTCTGGCGGTACCGCGTTCACGCCGCGCCGCCGCAGTTTGCGGAGAGGCGACGTTGGCGCTGGCGGGGCTCTGATTGCTAAAAGCAGCGGCGGGGCGGGGGGCGGGGATGATAAATTCGACCAGGCGAGGGGAGGGGTAGGGGAGGGGCAGCGGTCTGGCATTGGCACCCGCCGGCCGCGTTAGCCGCGTTGATCCGGCGGCAATTCGTCCTTGTCGGCTTATTAGGACAACCGTCGCCCTGAGCCTGAGCATGGGGCCACGGCACGCCACGGCCGAGGCGCGCGCCGAGGCCAGAGCCGCGGGCAGGGCCGCAGGCCGTAGGTGCGGTGGAGCCGAGCCGGCCCGAGGCCGCGGAGGGGTGGGGGTGGAGGGCGTAATTCCCCCGCGTCGCTCCGCGTGCCCCGCGTCGTCTTGTCCCTGGTCATGGTAAACAGCGCGAAAGGGCCGAGAGGGCGAAGGCCCGCCACGGCCCGGCCAACGCAAACACGGCGCCCTCCGCCCGCCACGCCCCGCGACACGCACCCCACTGCCGCTCAGTGGGCCAGAAGGCGGCCAAAACTCCAGACGCGTTTTGAGCTCCAGAGTCGCTGAACAGGACTCGAACCGAGCGTGTGACCCCACCAATGGATTCCTCGTTCGGAGAGCAATCCATTGGTGGGGTCACACGTTCGGTTCGAGTCCCTGCGAGAAGCTTGACAGTGTGGTGTGTGCGCGTGCCCTGTCATCGCCGCCTCCGCGCACTCACCCGTGCAGGGCCCGGAGCGCGGTGTGTACCCGCTACACTGGGCAAACACGTTCCTTTCGCAGCGAGTTGCGACACACGCCGCCGGGCCAACTATTTCGCCCTTGACGAGCTCGTGATGAAGCAGCGACCCTCTGGACCGCATCGCAAGCCGCGACTGTCTGTCCCAGCCCGTGGGGGGGGGGGGGGGCAACTAGCCCCGCTAAGCGGCTTAACGGCCACCCTGGGCCACCTCGGTGGGGAACAGAGGGGCGGGCCCAGTTTTCCAAAGCAGTGTTTTCCCTCTGGTGCGCGCTGCGGCGGCCCGGCAGGCCGAGCGCCAGGCCTGGCCGGCTGGAAAAAGCGCGGGGAAATTGAATTTAAGCCTCGGGGGGCTTTTATTTACAAGGGAAGGGCTTACCTTGGAAGGAGAACCACATGTTGACGAGGAAGGGGTGATCCAGCGCGGCCATGATCTCCACCTCGCGCAGCACGTTGCGCAGCGCGTCCCGCTCCACGCACTGGCCCTTGTTCATGTACTTCATGGCGTACATCTGGCCCTTGTCCTTCTTCTCCACGATGCACACCTGCAAACAGAGAGGCCGCCGATTTCATCATTTCGCTCTCGGCGCGCCAGAAAAAGGAGGAGAGTGAAAACAGCAGAACAATGATGTACTCCAGCAGCAGCACCCCAGCGACTTCTGTTTTAAGCGAGCCAATAGAAAGGAGGTCGAGGGGTTGTTTATTTATTCCCAGTAAACATGAGACCGGCCCTATATTTTCCCTTTCTTTTCAAAATATAGAGGCGCGCTCTCAAAAGTCAGAAGTGGTTGAGAGAGGGGGGAAAAAATGGCCGGCCGAGGAGACGGGAACGATTCAAGTTTGCGAAGAAGCACAAAAGGTTGGAATTGGGCTTTTCTCAGGTCTTTCTTCGCGTGAATCAAATTTGCGTCTCATTCTCTTTCTCTCTCGCGCCGAGGGAGAGATACGGTGCAGGGGTAAAAAGGAGATGAATGGATCCGAGATGAGACATCTTCTGCTGGCTCTGTTTCTCGGACGACTGTTTTAGCGATTTCTAGGCCGCAAGGGAAGGGCGACGAGCCGAAATGACCGAGAGTCGACTTGGCACTCCTTTCAACTTCGGTCAATGGTGTCCATTATTGACCTGTAAATAATGTTTGACGCTAACGAGAAATTCCACAGCCACCTCCCACGCGAGCTGCCCAAAGAGTTTTCGCGCCTGAGTGTGAAAACACTTTACCTTTCATAAACTAATTTTCCGCTAATAAATGAACGGCCGCTGGATTCTTCATAAAGCTTTCGGCCACACAATTTTGGCGAAAGAGCTTTTTCCAGCAACAGCGAAGGTGGTCCGTAGTTGGATGACGGAGGGAGGCCCCGGGAATGGAGACACGGCGGAGTGATAAGGAGCCAGCCTCGTCCCGAAGGCAAGGGGCCCTTCTCTGATGGGCGAGGCCGGGCAGGGCAGCGTAGGGCAGGCCCCTCCCTGATAAAGACACCAGCTAGGCGGGCCTCGTCCACAGCCAACTGCTGCGTCCCGGCCTCGGCGAGGCGTGGCAAGGCCTGGCAAGGCGGAAGCGAACCGCCTGGAGTGAAATCAAGAGTGAAGGCAAACAACTGAGTCCGGCCGGGACACGGCGGAGATGGTGCATAATTGGCTGTGCCAAGCCGTGACTTCAACTAGGAAGTGAAAAAAAATCTTTTATCTTGTCGGGTTTTGGTGTTGCTTTGTTTGTTTGCTGGGTACGCGAAGCAACCAAGTGTAAGTCTGCAGTCCCCAGCGGCAGTCACTTCCCTGATACAGTTTCTCAATTGTGTTTTCTCTCCATTCAAGTGTACAGTACACCTTTGGCGATATTGGGACGAGGACCTCGTTGGCAAACAACAACAACAACAACCATAACAAACAACAACAACAACAACAACAGTAGCACGCGGCGTCTCGTCCTTTGCTCGTCTCGCCGTCTAATGGAAGGGAAGGAAGGGGTGCTCAGGCTCATTACCACAGTCGTCGCTCCGTCTCTCTCGCACTCACGGGGCGTCCTCATGGGCGCGAGAGAGACGGAGCGACAGAGACGACTCAGAAGTCTGCAGCCTCGCAGCCTCCGGACGAAGGCGGCACGCGGAGCGTGATCCACGATCCAGCGTCATTTTAATAAAACACACGCCGTCAGGCAGCGGGAGGCAGTACGGCCCCTTCCGCCTCCTCCCTCCGCCACGCGCTCTGCAGCTTTTTTCCTTAAAAATAGAAAGATTTGAGAAATCATTTCCGACCGGTCGGAGGGCGTCAGGCCCCCTGCGAGACCAGAGACCGGGCCCGTCGGACGGCCGCGTCGTGCGGGTGGCCCAGCCCGGACTTCGCAGGCGCTAGCAGGCGCTCGCCCCCGGCTCAAACCCAAAGAGAGTCGTAACTCGATGTGGGAGGCGAGTTCCAGACGCAAGGAAACACCGCCACACACATACACACACACAAACATGACCGTGTGTTCAACCGCGCGCGCACTCGAGACGGTTGAGACCGGATGAAAGTCGGTTTCCGCCACTCCAGCCAGTCCAGGCACTCCAGCACCGCTCTCCGGATTCTCCTGCCTCGCCTCCAAATAATGGAGTAACGGAATAATGGAATAATGGAATAATGGAGATGACGCAACAAAAGGGCCGCGCGCCGACTCACTCGCACCCTCGGACACGTAACGAAGCCGTTCGTACGCAGCACAACAAGTTGGGACAAAGTGTGTGTGTGGGTGGGTGTGTGAGAGAGAGAGAATGTGTGTGTGTGTTAGCGTGCGTTCAACAGCATGTGTGCTGGACCCTGCCGGAAAGGTTAAGGAGTGAAGTTGAAAGAGGGGGAGAGTTGGGGGCGGGGTTGCCTGGGTCGTGGACTCAATGAATGGAATTCGGAGTCGTGTGTGAGTGTGCTGTCCCCCCCCCCCCTCCCCTTTCCTCTCACGGCACTCTCATGACGATTGTCGAGCTAGTCCAGATAGCGCAGGTGCAAAGCAGTGCACAGCAGGTGCGAAAGCTGCTGCAGAGGCGGAGTGTGAGTGTGGAGGGGTCTGGCCGAGGTGAACATTTCTGACTGCAACTCGCTCCACCTGAGAGACGCTTCCTCTCCCGACAGTGTGCACGACAGTGTGCATAGCGAGGCAGTGCTGCCGGGAGTCCGCTTGGCGCGGCTTCGCGTTTCACAGTGCGGTGTCGAGTGTCGCTTCGCGCTGCTGCCCGCTCTACTGCACCAGCACGCCGGCCAGGCCAGGCCCGCCGGCCCCGAGTTCGCGGCTCGCTGCCCTGACGCCTCGCAGCCCGCAGCGCCAGGCCCTGCAAACGCCCCGCACTGGCCTCTAGGGGCGGGGCGGGGCGGGGCGGGGTGGGGCGGGGCGGCGGGGTGGCGTGACGCCACACGACCCGAGTCCTCATAAAGTTAGGCCAGGGTGCGGTGCGCGACAGAAACTTGCAAGATGGCCCGGTCGCCGAGGCTGGGGAGGGGGGCGGGGCAGGCCGGGGCCGGCAGGGTGTTTGGGTGCAGACTTGCTCGCCAGAGTACAGCACTCTCTGAGACCCCAAAGCCCCGTGCCGAGCCGTGCCCGCCTAGCCCCGTTGCCCAGAGCTACGGCGGCAGCGATGGGATTTATACGAGCAGGCCCTACTTCGTGTTGTTGTGGTCGCCTCCAGAGAGGGGCGGGGCGGGGCGGGAGTCCGGAAACAGGAAAGGGACCCGGCCCCGCGTCCGTATGATCCACCACAAAACGCACCACTTTGGACCTTGTCGCCACACTGTGGGGGGAGGCGGCTGCCGGTTGATTGGTTAACCGTCCCGCCGGGCGAGATTGTTTTGTTCGCGTCCCTAAACCGCCAAATCAAATTGGGCGACGTCGGCATGCATAATCCGGCCCGGTCGATACCCATGTACACACACGACTTGAGGGCCGACCTAGCAGTGGAGGCATGCCTGCAGGATCAGGTCGGCAGGGCGTAATCCCGCACTCACTGGATGAGGCACGGATCCCTGTGGACTCGGTGCGGGACGGCAGGGGCACCTGATACCCGCGACCCCCCCCCCCCTTTCCATTACTCAATCATAATCCAGTTTAAACTGCGCGCCTTCTCTGACTCCCCCCCTCCCGGCCCATCAGATGATGCAACGCGCAGGGGGAGGGGGGGATTTGACAACACGTCTGCGCGTTCATTCGATTACCCCCACCGCCCCGCACAGCGTCGGAAAACAACAACAACAACAAGGAGGCGTCACACATCGCGATGAAGCGAGCTCCAGCCGTGACTGGAGGCTCTAGCACGCCGTGCCGCGCCACTGGATGAAAAGCAAAACCAAGACAGTAGAGGCCCGTAACGGGCGGACCTGTGCGTCCGTTAAGAAAAGTGGGGTGAGGTGGGGTGGGTAGACACTGGGTCGGCGATCCGATGCGTCAAACGACGGACAGACAGACGCGTTCGCCGGTCGAGGCACAGCCCAGGCACAGCCACGCCAGCGGCCGGCCGGCAGTGCCGGCAGCTGCCGCTGCAGGCGAGGGGAAGGGGGAGGGGTGTTCAAAGCACCCGCTGGCTGACAGAGGTGACGAGCCGAAGTAGCTTCGGCTACTTTTGGAGAGTCCGTTTAGGGTCCGTTTAGCTTCGGCAACCTTCGCTAACGGGCCGGACCGAGCCGGACCGGACCCGGACCGGACCGGGTATTGAGGAAAACTTGGGCTGGCCTAAACGGACCGGGAAACCCGCCCGTTACGGGCCTCTACAAGACAGAAACTTGGCGGGCTCCTCTTCCGGCGTCCTGCGCGGCCTTCTGTAAGCGGGGAGGCACCGCACCGCCGCGCCGTCCAACATTTATCAGCTCGCAAAGTATTCAAGGCGCGGTGCGGTCAGCGAGCCCCCCTCCCCCTCTTGCCCCGCAGTCTCGGCAGCGTTTGCCCGCCGGAGATTTAAACTTCTTTGCGCGCCGTTTCCGCTCAGTTAAGGGGAAAAAAACTTGGCAAATCCCGGAGAACTTGGAGAAAAAATTGGTCTGCAATCTTTGGAAAATTTCAAAACCGCCGATCGATTTTGAGAATGTCTCCAGCGGTTTTCCAACCTTTTCCGACTCGCTGTCTGACGCGCCCCGTCGCTGGAGCCTCCAGGCGAACCGCTTCGTCGCCTCGTCCCGTCAACGACCTCGTGAGCTATCTACACTACGTGAACGGAGTGAGCCAAGGCCAGCAGTGAACCGGATCGAGAAAAAAATGGAAACCGTCTCGGCCGCTTATCCATCCCCCGAGACAGACGGAGAGCGACGCTCCAAGGACGCATGCAGTCGCGCGATCTCTCCGAGCTCTCCCCGGCCCGCTCGCGCTAGGCTCGCGCTAGGCTCGCGCTCACTCCCCCTGCCCTGCCCACGGACCGTGCCACGCAGAGACGGAGACCTGGCCTCCCCCTTCTAAACCCCTCGGGGAGTCACTCTTTTCGATCTCAAGGCCTACTCGCCACATTTTTCCACGAAGGCCGGTCGAATCCGATTTTCGGCGCGCCTTCCCTCCCGCAGCTCCCGCGGCCCTACACCAGCAGCTCGGCCGCTCCCAGT